TAATAAATGAAATATGAAAAACTGTAAAATATAATATTTAGTTTTAACTTACGACTAGAACAACACAAGCGCGCGCTTTATATATATATTTAACATATTAAAGATAACATAAACTGCATTATTTTCTAAGAGTTTTTTGGTGTTCGCTTTCTCCTTACATTCATTAACTTATTAAATATGATTTATTTCTTGAACAAATCTTGCCAATATAATTGTAAGTTATTTAAACTTAACTTTAAACTTTCTCTTGGCTTACCGCTTGTAGGCTTGTATACTTCTTAAGTATCTCTAGCCACAGTCAAATAGTAACCTGCTAATATAGTAAAACCACTTTTCTTACACATATACTCGCGTACGCGCGCGCGCGCGCGCGCGCGTGCGTGTGTGTGTGTGTGTGTGTGTGTGTGTGTGTGTGTGTGTGTGTGTGTGTGTGTGTGTGTGTGCGCGCGCGCGCGTGTGCTTGTATTCATAGAAAAAACAAAATCCATTGTTTTATAAAATGTTTGTGTATTATATGTATTAAGTGCGGCCACATTCTCAAATTATTATTGAAAATGAAATGTTTTATAATCTGGCTAAGAATTTTAGTCACGTTACAAAATGCTAACAAGTGACTTGCCATATTATCAAATGCAACAATTTGCACATTGTTTTAAATTCTGGCTGATTTATTTCAGGCTGCGATCCACTTGATAACAAATGCTTCGAAGCGTTTTTCTCCTTCTTTCTTTAGTAAAAGGAAAGAAGGATAATGCTTCAAAGCATTTGTAGTATTAATTGTAAGTGGACCACAGCTTCAGTCATTTTATGAATGGCACGCCTCGTGCAAAGTTTACAGTAGGTCTATTCGTTTTAGTTAAAATGTAACCAGTTTAGTATGGTTTGAGTTTTTATGACTGTTACTTATTAATATTAACAGAAAGACAACTAACAAAAATTAAAAAGCATAGAAATAAAATAAATAAAGTTAGTTTGTGTCCATTTGTTTATTTCTTGTTGTAGAATAAAACTCACGAATTTGATTGGGAGGATATTAAAATCTTGGATTATGAACTTTGTAATAAAAAAAGATTAATATCTAAAGATGCTCCATATCTCAAATTTTAAAAAGTAAACATTAATAAGGGTGGTACTGAATTTTTGTCTTAATTTTATCTTAATTAAAGCAATTTCCTTCTAAACAGTGATTGTACTTTTATATCCTACCGTTACTATGTTTGTTGTTTGTTTCTGATTTCCCCTCTTCTTACTTCTGTCCCTTGACATTGTTGCTATTGGAACATTGGATCTTTTCCACATTCTCGTTTTAACCTTGGATGAGACTGATTTAAATGATTTATTGTTTGTTCCATCTTTATCAAATATTTCTCCTATTATACGTATGTATATAACTTTGTAATTTTGTATGTTTTACTTGAATTTAATTGTATTTCTTGGATTTTACAGTTTTTATATTTTATTTTTGAATCGGCTTGATAAACTGATTAAAGGAATATAAAACTTTTATTTTTTCAAAAAGTGTGACTTAACATTGTTTACCTCTGAGCACTGATATATGTATATGTATATGACGTAAAATGAGAAAGTAAGTGAAATGATAAAAGATTGCAGTGCGCATTTATAATCTTTTCTATGTAAGTCATTACCATACATTAATTTTGTTATTAGAATTAGATTGGAGATCACGATATGAGAAAGAATTAAAATTGGGAAATTGATCATACCTGGATCAAATAATCAAATAATCTCCAAGCGTATTATCAGATGCCGTATCTGCATTATTTTGCCGAATAGCGTTATATTTTTCTAAGACTTTAATTATTTTAACAAATTAATGACTAATTTTAATGCACTCACAATGCTTTCTTGAACATAGTTAGATACATATGTAACTACAATATATGTATATGAAGTAAATAGCATAGCGCGCAAATCTCATGGAATAATCACGACTCGTTATGTTCAATCGGACAATTATGCTCATTGCAATGATATTATGGTTCCTGTGACACCTGTGTACATTTTCACATCAATGGAATCTAGAGAAATATATTCTGGATTATGGAGATTGCCATATTTGGCGCGTGCGTCTACGCACGTCCTGCATGTTACACTGCGCACGCGCACAGATTACACTGCACGCGTGGAGCAACGTGTATTGCGACATTTTTTGTCTTTTCTATTACATTGGTTAGAGGCAAGATAACATTTAAAAATGACCATAATATTAATCTTTCATCTTTAAAAAATTCAATTGCCTTTTGTACATTTTGAAATGTACAACACGATTTTTAAATATTATAAAAAAGTAAAGCATGGTTTTATTTTGAGCAGCGGATGATCAAGAAATAATTTTAAAAAATTAGTTTTTAATGTTTTTTTCCAAACTATAATTAATATTAAGAAATTATTTATTTTGAATAAAAGCGTTGATAAATGTGTAGCCGATTATAAGAAAAAGAAACAAAAATAGGTAATTTTGGGGTACGATTTCACAACTATAATATTTTTTAATACATTTTCCAGATAATTTTTCAAGACGCTATTTTTACTCGTGTTTTCTGGATTTGTCACAATAATTTTTCATCAATTGACGAAAGTTAACGGACAGTGCATCGGTTTAATATATTGTATTATAGAACATGGTGAACTGCGTACCGCTGTACATATTCATGAGCTTAACGATACGTCGAGAGCGAAATAGATAAAAAGTAGGTGTGCTTATAAGGACGTCAGGTGCATCATCACTAAGAATATTTCAACCGGTTTTGTGTTCCGAACGTTACCTATCAATTATGTAATACGCGAGAGATCAACCAAACTGACAAGTGGAAATTCAAAATTCAATGAATGCGCGCTGTTTTATATGTTTGCCACGTTTAAAATAAAATGCTACAATAATTAAAATGGCGAAAGTTACCGACACGAATGTTTTAACTGCTTCCGACAATTATTACCATACAATAGACATTTTTTAATTGCTCAGTAATCACGCGACAGCTTTTAATTTTCAAAAAATTATGAATATTATTAAATACATTTTATAGTAGAATTTCTATATATAAAATTGCCTGTTATTAAAGTTATATTATAAATCCAAAATTAAAGTAACTCGATATTGTTTAATTATTGTTTACTTGATATTGTTTAATATTGACAAATCTCATTGTGCTTGACATGCGCATGACAAATCTTTTATGCTTACTGCTTTATTAATGTTTAAAGATAAAATTTCTTTTCATAATGAACCATTAACAATATGTTCACTAGAAATTATTTCAAGATTATTAAAGAATGATTGGTATATGTCTGTCCATTATACACCTGACACTTCCAGAGTTTTGCTGCCACGTCGTAGAAATTAGCGATTATTACGTTGCACATATGGACACAAATGCACATGTCGTAGACTGCTGCGTGTATCTACGTCCTTACGTATTTCATAATATCGTTTTATGCAAGCGGCAAGGCACGCATGATGTCGAAAGAAAGACATCGTAGCTTTTCTATTTGTGTATTTTATTTTCATGCATTGACGAATTCCGAAACATGGACGTATTCGACAAATGAGAAAGCAAGGTCAACGTGTGTTGGTCTCGAAAATTTCTTCCTTGTATTTACGTTCACATAATGGAAATAATAAATGGTATAATAAAAATGTGACTCACACATAGTATATTAATTATCGTCGCACCAGCTTCTTCTTTTAACAACATAAGTATCGATCAGAGCGGAGTAAAAATAATTTCTTAGAAATATATAAATTTAATTTTTGTTTAGTGCGACGTTGTGAAACTTATGTATGTAAGAGAAGATGCGTCAGAGGCTAAAAGCAATTGTAAAACTTCACGATCGGGCTTGAATAAATTTTGGTCACTGACGTGATCTTGCTTTAAGAGACGCTTTATAACGGCTGATATTTCGAAATGCAATACCACCCACATATTATGGCTAATTAAGTATGTCAAATCAATGCTGATCAATCAATATATTATATGGTCTGCGACGTGTATTTAATCATTTCTGTCTACGTTGACTTTGATTTTTTTGTCATACCTCACTTAAACATGTATCTCACGCATATCTGTTAATGGCAAGCTGCATAATATCGCAGGGAACTGCGAATGTCTAGAACGAGATATAAACGCCATAACAAATCTTGAATCGCTAATAAAACAATGTTTCTAATGCGCAGTATAGATAAAAACAGCTACAAAAGCAGGATAATTAATAATATTTCCATTAATTTCATAGTTTTATATTATAGAAATGTTTTTAGCCCTGAAAACTACAATAATTTTTAATCTTTTTTACAGTTATTTACAGTTAATTCTAATTTTATCTCTTATTTACAGTTAATTCTAATTTTATCTCTAATTATTCACCGCCTTCTCTCCTCATCCTTGTGTATGCAATGTCATTCCATTCAATCATTTCTATTTAAATCTCAATGTTATTACCATTTTTGCCCTTCATACAACGTACATCGCATATCTGTCTGATGTAATATTATTTAATAATACGTAAATTTCTACAATTTTTGTTATTTTTTGTATATGTTATATACACATTCTGTTTTATTTTTACTTACATCTTTTTTTTTCTTTGTTTTTGCTCTATTTTTCTTCCTTTTCTTCCTCCTTTATTCATTGAAGGCCATGTTGTTTGATTATCTACACTACTTTCTATCTTTAGTTTCTTCTAAACACTTTCCAAACATTTTCTATTAATTTCTTTTTCCAAAATTCTCCTACATCTTTTCTTTATATTGTATAATATATTCCTACGTCTTTATCAAACTAATGACACTATTTTATATCTTCCTCGAAGTCACGAAACTTTTGTATGAAACATTTTTCTCTAAAATCTTTTTTTTTTAGTTATAAGCTTATAATATTTTAGCTGACTCAACCTGAATAATTAATATGTTAAGGAATTTTACAACGATTATAGAGAATGTGAAAATTTGCGTAATAATAAAATTTCTTGATATATTTCAGATCAAGCTAGAACGAGTGTTGGGAGTAACTGTTTCCAGCAATGCAGCCCTCGATTGTGACGAGACCAGTGAATTGGTCGCTTATCCGGCTGGGTAAGTTTGACTGTTTCTGATTGATTTCTTTCAGTTGATATAGTGACGGTTAAAAATATCTTTTTAATAGAAGTTGACACTAATATTACCGAAAAAATGAACGAAGCAAAAAGAATATAATTAGATAAGATGTCTTACGAATTATCTCTAATGAAACGATGAGTTTGTTATGTGCAAAATAATTTTATTAATCTTCTATATCTCTGTCCTTATAAGAACATGTCAATACATGTATTGATTTAATTCTTTTGGAAATATATGGACGAACACAAAAACCCAAGAAATATACCATACATGTAACATACGCCTGTCTTGAGGTGTATTAGGCGAAACAATCTTTCCAAGTAATAAGAATAAAAGCTTATTGTTGCCAGTGAATAATGAAGCAATGTAGGAAAAATGTAGGACAATTGGGGCGACAATAGATTCTTATCTGTTAAACACTCTTTATTATTTCGTGGCGTTCTATTCTCTTACACCAATCTGTCTTAAGCCTATCACACAATAGGAACGCACAGGCAATAGGAACAGGGAATATCACAGGCAACAGAAATAACTAAATTCCAACTTACTAAAAACCGTGTATCGACGCACAATGGAATATGGAATAGGCAATAGGAACAGAATTTCCGACGCGTTGGATTTCTGTTCCCTATTCCCTGTGCCTGACCTATCTGACCAATCACAGTTGAGACTGGGACAGGTACGTGATTTTAAAATGCAGATGATTGGACAGCACTCCTATTGCTGTCTCTCACGAATCATTGTGTCTTGGCATTACATAGGTTTCTATTCCGTATTTCTATTCCTTATTCCTATTGCCTGTGCTTTCCTATTGTGTGATAGGCTTTAGAACACGCTTAGCAATGAGTACATATATTAGATAGGTTGGTAGACAACCGTTGGAAACAGGCACCAAACGGTCGAGCCTCACGCATCCGCGTGCTGCCAACATGGCGCCATATCCAATAGAGACGACCAATTATCCTTTAATCCCCCACTTTGCGATGTCCAGGTCCATCTTCGCTATGCAACGATTATGAGCGACTCGTTTCAATCCTTTGGTCATCACATCCGCCGGGTTGTCGCTGGATGGCACGTACGACAAACTCAGCATTCCATCCTCAATCTTCTCCCTCACGATGTGAAAAGAGATATCTATTATATGTGTTTAGTTCTATTCTTCTCGACTCTATTCTTGGAAAAGTCTATAGCCGCTCTGTTATCGCAAAAAGCTTGAAAACCTGTAATGTAATTATAAAGTTTAAGCTCAGACAGAAACATATTTAACCATATTATCTCCTTGATTCCACTCGATAGAGCCACATATTCTGCCTCCATCGTTGAAGTTGACAGGCATTTTGCTTCGCTGATCGCCAATGGATAAGATTTCCTCCCATCATTATTACAACCCCCGAATATGAGTGTCTGTCGTCTTGATCTCCGGCCCAGTCTGCGTCGCAATAAATTCGAATTCGTTGTTCACCTCCAGCTTTGTAGATTAGTCCAAGGTTTCTGGTTTTACTCAGATATCGTAAAACATGTTTCGCCTGGTGCCAGTGAACTTTTCCAGGATTAGAGTTGTACTGTGATAACTGTACTGTACTGTTGAAATTGCGAAAGCGATATCCGGTCGTGTATACTGCGACAGATACATTAACGATCCTATTAATTCTCTATATGGTACATGTGACATTTCCTTCTTTTCTTCTTGTGTTACTGGGCAATCTCCTCTTTGCTCAGTTTTATCCCTGGCTCCAATGGTGTTGATGCTGGTCTGCACTCTTGCATGTTGCATTTCTTCAAGATCGCTTCGATGTGGGTCTTTTGTGTCATATGCACTGTACCGGATTGCATTCGATCCAGTTTCACTTTTATTGCGTAATGTATCCCACCAAGATCTTTTATCTCACATTTCTCTGCAATAGTATCTATTGTTTCCGTAATTGAATTCAATTTCTTTGAGAATATAAAGATGTCGTCTACATATACTACAACTATTAGCGATTGTCCTTTTCTGCAAGTGCAACTTGATAACTTGAGTCTCTCGAAACCTTTACTGATGAAAAGTTTGTTTAATTCATCGTTCCAATTTCTTCCTGATTGTTTTAACCCATACATTGCCATGGACGCAACAGTTTAGGTACTTCTCCTTCTTTGGCATCATAAAGAGGCGGTAATTTCATGTAGATCTCTTCTTCTAGGTTCCCATATAAGTATGCATTCTTTACGTCGATATGTCTCGTGTGCCACTCATATTCCACCGACAATGCTAACAGCAGCCTAATTACTGAAAAGTTTACTACAGGTGAATATGTCTCGCTGTAATCAATTCCCTTTTCTTGAGCGAAACCTCGCGCTAATAATCTAGCTTTGTACCTCGCGACTTTACCGTCTGCATCTGTTTTTAGCTTGAAGATCCACTTACATCCGATACACCTTTTTCCTTCAGGTAGTTGAGTAATCTTCCAAGTCTTCCTTTGTATTAGGCTATATAGCTCCTCTTTGATGGCACGTTTCCAATATTTCGCTTGTAAAGAAGTTAACGCTTCATTAATGTTCTGTGGCTCATTTATCTCTATTAGATTCGCTTCAATGTCGCTCTGTTCTGTTGTACTATCTTCATCCTGTGTGCGTTGAGTTTCTTTAGGTTTTCCTTTTCTTCCATAAGGATTACGAACTTTCTTCTTTGGTTTTCCTCTCCTCGGAGTTTTTTCTGCGTCTTGGACCCTATCTCTTCTTCCTCAGGAACATTTTCCGTCTCTTCGAATCTTTCGGATGACTCAATCTCTTCTGTCGACGAATTGTCATCCTCTGACCAGACTTCGTTATGCCTAAACTCTTGCGCTGCCCTCTCGTATATCCATTCATATCCGATTTTATCTTCTGCGAACCTGACATGTTTCCTTGTAACGACGTCTCCCTTTTGTGGGCACCACAGCCGATATCCCTTTGTTTGAGTGGCGTAACCGATGAATATGCATTCAACAGCTCTATCATCTAATTTCTTTCGTCCTTGACTTGGTATCCGTGCATATGCTAGACAACCGTAGACCTTAAGACGACTCACGCTCGGTATCTCTGTCCACACTGTGAACGGAATTTGATCTTTAATTGTTGAATGACATACTCTGTTCTTAATATAAGCTGCCGTAGTAACCGCTTCAGCCCAAAACTTTTGTGGCAGACACGCTGATTTGAGCGTTGATCTCGTTAAATCTAACAGGGTCCTATTGATCCTTTCGGCGACACCATTCATTTGTGGTGTTTCTACATTTAACCTTTCGTGTTTAATGCTCATAGATTTAAAGAACGCTGATAATTCTTGATTGCAAAATTATTTCCTTGTTAAAAATAGACACATCGTTATCTGTTGTATAAAAAATTTTATTTTTGTTTACGTTCTCATACAAACTTATTACTTCTTTTTTAATATATTCTTAATAACGGATTATTCTCTATATAATTTTTTAATTTTTTAAATATTATATATTATTTTGCACTGCATGTAAATATAATGTAAATAAATTGATTTGCAAATGTACTTATAAAGTTTACATAATTAATGATTTTCCGTCAGATAGAATATTTGGGTGAAATGTGCGGGAGAAAGAAAGTTCGTTAATTTAAAGGGAAAGAATAAACCTTCAGCTTTGCGAACAGCACAAAGGATATGTACTCCTTGTTTTTCGTCAGTTGCATGGATAGAAGAATGGGGAAAGTGGAGAGGTTATCTTAATTTATCGCCACAGCGAAGAAATCACTTTTGCACAGATATATGTCATCTTCGGATACGCTGTAGCTTAAATAATTTTTATAAAGTCTCTGAACATGCAGTACGTCGACAATCTACATATATTGATATACTCTATATTATATAAATTGAATTGCAAAATATAAAAATTAGCGAGCTTTAGGATAAAATTTTTATCGCGTAATTAAATGAGAAATTAATTTCCATATTACTCTCGTTTCTCTGATACAACAACTTAAACTTTAAATAATCATTCAGCAAATTGTTAATTGCAACATGCTAAACGTACTATATAACTCTCTTTGTGTCGCGACTTGTCATCTAACGTAGTAAGTAGAGTGTGGCGGATACCTAATATGTTAGCGAGTAATCGCATAAAGAAAACAAACGCTACTAGTAGCTGATACATATTCGTCACTCGATTAAATTCAGTGTATTTTCTCATATCGACTAACGTTACTTGTATGTATGCAAGTGCAATCTGTTTAAAAGTTTTACATCCTAATCTAATGGCCGAACGAATTTGTTCTTGTTAAATTCTTTTTCTCTCTCTATCTAACTCTAAATCTTATACTCTACCTTATGCAGTTAATAATTTTATTAATCGCAAAAATGTATCTATTAATAAAATTAATTATAATTATTTTATTTTTCATTGTCATTGCAATCTCTCTTCGTGCATGTAATGCCTCTCAAGGGTCGAGATAAATTCCGTCACAATAACTATGTATGACATTCATACTGAAAATTGGGTCAGGAGAAAGAGGCAGATGGGTCGAAAGATTCTACTTCGCGAGACCCTGGATAATGTATTACACTGAAAGCGTCTAAGATCATTTTGCCTATAATTGAGAAAGCCTCCATATTCTTAATTGCGTTAATTCTTGCGTTATTACAGGCATCGTGACGTCATTTGTCATTTGACTATGCGTGCATAGAATGAAATAGCGCACGTAATTATAACGCCTTGTACATACAACACGCGTGTTATTGAAATACTAATGGAGGCCGACGAGAAATATTAAAGTAAATATAAAATATTAAAAATAGACACATCGTTTGGCTTCGTGTAAAAAAATGACTATATACAGTTGCACAATTCGTATTAAATTTAAGAGATATCTACATGTTCCAAATGGTTTACGCAAATTTTTGTGTTAATTTAATATAATGTGGATATGTGAAATGACAATATTAATACTGTTTAATTTTAACATAAAATTAATGCAAACCTCAACATAATTTG